TGGTCTCGCCGCATTAATCTAGGAGACAATCTAGTGCGGCCATTATAAACATCAGCTTATGCTTATTATATACCAGACTGAAGATAGCTTCTCCTTCTATAACACCAAGAGATAAAGGCCGGTTAGCCATGCAGTTCGGTAACTGCGCAAGGCGAACTAGGATATTATAATAGGCTCCTCTAAGTATCGTTTCCTAGCCTGTGTGCCGCATCTAATTGGTCTGTAAGACGGAAGAAGATGGTGTCTTTACCACAAAACCTTTAACCTTTACTCTGCTGATTTCCCAAACAGGCATGCTCCTCAGTAAATAGCTTCTGAGCGAAGAGCTTAATAGGACCAGGACTGGCCTGCAGAAGAGTGCTGCTAGGTATAGCCCTGCCGTTGGAGTTATTATCAGTGCTTACGAGCCAGGACTTTTAAGTATTATTCTCTATCTAGCTCTTGAATAGAACGCCTTGCTAGATATAGTCTCGTAGTTAGTACTGTCAGCTTTGCTTCTAAGCTATAAGCTTAAACTTATTATAATACTTAGCCCTAAGGTAATCTGCAAAAACCTTCTTGCTAGTAGAGTAGAGACTATAGTGCTTATAAGATAAACCTTCTTATGTTATAAGGTATAGGTAAGGCCATAATCTATTAGGTCTAGGGGCTAAGGTATCTAGATCTAGGCAGTTTAATAAAGATAAGAGGGGCTTAAGGCTATGTTAAGTAAATCTAATAATATTATATTATTTATTTAAATACTTTAATACATATTTAAAATTAAAATAAAAACTATATTTAATATATATAAAAGTTACTTTTAGTATATTATAATAAAGGCTAAATTTTTTAATCTTTTATAGTTTTACTAAGAGGTAAAATAAAAAGGTTATATAGCTTATAAATAAAAAAGTAAAATAATTATAATTAAGTATATATAAATATAATAAAGAAAATAAAATATTAAAGATAAAGTAAATATTATATAAAAATAATAAATATATAAGTTTTAATAAAAAAGAATAATAAATAGTATTTAAGTTTTTAATTAAGCTATTAAACTTAAATAAGAAGTAGTTAATAAAAATATATTATATTTTATAATTTAGGTTTTTTAATTTTAGTAATATAATATAAAAAATATAATATATTTCTATCTAGGGAAATATACGGTAAAGATATTAGATAGTAATTAGCTAAAAATAGGAAATATAATGCGTTTTTAATAATAATACTTAAGTAGGCTGTCGATGCAAAGATTAATTTATCAGGGTGCCAAGTGCACCTTTGGAGCGCAGGGTCCAAACAGTAAGTTAACTGGATGAATAACTTATGAAGAAGAAGCGCTAACAGAATCCTACAGGTGCCCAGCAATGGTCTTACAACGAAGCGAAGGCCCTTCCTAGCGTTCAAGTCACTATTGACACTAGCTCCGGTTCTGTAACCTAGAGTACATTCCCTGTTAACAACTGAGCTTCGAGTATTGAAGGGGTTGTTTGACGGATGGATTATTGCACGACACTCATTGATTAACTTCAGTGATCAAGAAGGTGGCATTCTTCAAAGTATCTAAGTTAATTTCCTGTGTTCGTTCAGTACTTGAATTCCAGGTTGCGAACTCTGTGTTTTAGCCAATTGAAAAACAGCAACTAAGTTTTGTTCGAATGCGATAAAGACTTAAACTCAGCTTCTACAAGATTGATACTGTCAAATTCTGTAATTAGAAAAACTAGTAGTTATTGACTCAATGACTGTCTCTTTCGATCACATCTGCCTGTTCAGTCAAACCCTGTCCAGCGGGCACCACCTTCACCCTCTCTTTCAACTGCTTTCATATCCAGTAGATGGATAATTCTCATTACACTTTGATCAACCATATTTTGAACTGAATTCGGCCTCGTATATAATGCCATCACTGGGGGAAATGTCGATCCTCCTGCGGTTTTGGTAGTTTCGTGTACGATTCGCTTGTAGAAGGCGCCGACGTACCATAGCGCTGTCCTGTTTTTAGTGCCTACAAATCGAACCTTCATCACTTCCCGTGCCACAGAACTTCCCCAGAATGGTTTTATTGCAGTTATGATAAGTGAAAGCAAGTGATGTCTAGTGATTGATATTACTTAGTTACAGAAACTGACCACTTAGATGATTAAAGTACTTTATTTTGCGATAGCGCGAGTAGGTCACTTATAAAGACCCCGCACCTGACAAAACATTAGGTAAGACAGCTGAACTTTGCGAAGCTAGGAGCACTAGCCATGTTACGAAATGTAACGCTTAATTGAGAGTTATTCTATTACAATATACCATAACATGCTGCTATAGTATTATTAATTCTAAAAGGATAAATTATTATTTTTATACTCTTTAGCCTAGAGAACTATATAATAAAATTAAGTTTAGTAAAAAAAAAACTAATAGCAGCCTTGAAGACCTAAGTCGCATTTGCCTACTGGATTAGGGAAAATCCCTCAAATACCCGAATTATGGCTAAATCGGCCCTGATTACCAATCCAGGTGGGGAGGTATCCTTATTTGATAAGGGAGAAGGTCCGGCATATTACTTAAAAGGCTTTTTTTATTAAGCTAAGTTATATTATTTATAAACTACTTAAGCTATAAATATAAATAATAAATATAAAAATTAAAATTAAAGGTCTTAAATATAATTTTTAAAAAATAATATTAAATATTTAAATTATTAAAAATTATATTTAAAACCCTACCCCTTAGATATCTCAATTTCTAGTAGCCTTAAAATACCCCCTAAAAAGCGGGGTAATAGACCTATAAATACTTCCAATATGCCCGACAATCTCCTAAGGGATACCTTCACAAATGCTTGCTTCAGCTGTAACGATGCATCGGATAACGTGTCTTTGCGGGAACATGTCTCGGCAACTGGGCGCGCAGCCTCGGAGAAACGACAACGCCATAGATCTATCTCTCTGTCACTGCAATACCTGCCGCTATTCAACTGGCTTACTCTGTACATCTTACGTTCCCACCGAGAAACCGAATTCTTTTGATAATTTGAGTGTCTTTGATGGGGCAGATGGTTCGTCTCGGTATTTCTGCTCAACATGCGGATGCCATATATTTCAATCACTCAAAGGCCGCGATGGCGAGTTGAGCTGGGGAGTGGCTACGGGTGTTATTATTTGCAGTGACGATTCAAACGAGAGAGTGAGATATGCAGCACACCAGAAAGTTGAAGATACTGCTGATGACGGTGCTTCAATCTGGATCCCCCTGGAAGAACAGCAGAGATATTCAGTCCACTCACATTCGGACTCACTTTTACAAACGACATATCTCGACGCGCTATGCGCCTGCGAGGCTATACATCTTCGCATCACACGTCCAAACACGGCCAGTTACCTACCACATCGCAACTACACTGACCTAATGCATCCACACTGTTCTACCGAGGAGTCCATTACATCAAACCCATCAGACGAAAAGTGGTGGGTCCAAGGAGACAAATACCTTGCGGGAACCTGCGCCTGCGAATCTTGTCGCTTAGCCTCTGGTTTTGAGATACAGACATGGGCCTTCATCCCTCGAGCCAACATCTCCATCTTTGCTCCGGACAGCTCAAGAACAGAGGTACCATTGGACTTTGAGAGTTTACCAACGGGTGCTTTGAGGTCCTACCAATCTTCACAAGGGGTAGTTCGTCACTTCTGTGGTGGATGTGGTGCAACTGTATTTTGGCGCGGTGTTTCTGATCCAAGTGTAGTCGATGTGAGTGTAGGGCTGTTTCGAGCTGATGAAGGGGTCAGAGCAGAGAATTGGGTGCATTGGTTTACGGGACGTGTAAGTTTCTCTGAAGAAGTTCAGACTCATCGATCAGGTCCTTTTTCGGTTGCGGCTAAGAGTTTGATAGACAGCCTATCATCGGGACTGAAGATAAGATCTCTAAACTGACTTGACTTGGCGGGCTTGGTAACATTCTCTTTTAAGAGCCAGAATCTTATCATAAAAGCCAAGATTCTCTTAATTCAAGAAGTTGATTTATTTCTTATAAAAAAGCAGACGGTATATTATCGCCGCAACAATATTTCGAACCAGCTTTCCATGAGCATAGATGGTTTGATATTTACAACGTCATTATGCAAAGAATAATACTCGATATGCAAAATTAGGTTAGGAAAAATAAACAAGGTTATTTTATCCCAGTCAACACTATTTCCCTCAACATCATATAACATGTCACGAATATACAAATCTCGCTACCCTACATACGATCGAGATGCCCGCTAATGACCCCCAACCCCAAACTCTCAACCCCTGTCTCACCCAATAGAACATCCTCGCAACACGAGCATCGTTTCATCTGCCAAAACAAAGTGCTCGGTGTAGAATCGATGTCGCTTCGGACCAATCTGGCAGGGCATTCAGCTGATAACTCCATTGGCATAAGCAACCAATTGAGCGTAGCACGTGCTTAAAGAGGCGATCGTATAGTTAGCCATGTTGGCCATGATACCAAAGGTAGAGACAGCTCTTCTCTGCAGAGGAAGAGTATATTAACAGTCATGGTTGGCTCTGGACTGATTGGCCTATTCTATTTAAGTAATTTAGTTTATTTAAATTGTGTCTTAAGGATTAATATTATTTTTCTAATATATTACTTTTACTATTTTTATATATATATTGTATTTTTTTAAAAATAAATAAATATTTTTTACTTTAATTTTTATTATTTTTATTAATTAAAGGATAATAAGTAAGGTTTTAAATAAGTAAACTAGTTTATATAAAGTTTATATTTATAAAGTTATAAGATATTATATTAAGTAATAAGAAAGTAAAATAACTTTTAATAATTAAGTAAAATATAATAAACTTATTAATATAAAAAAGTCTTATTAATAACTAATAAGCTAAAATTTATAAAAGTATTAATAAATATATTTTATATACTTAAAAATATAAATAGTAATTAGTAAGGGTATTATAAAATTAATATTAACTAAAGTATATTAATTATAATTATAAAAGCTTAGTAATAATTTAATAGAGTAGAGATATAATAATTAGAGGGAAATATAAGGTATATATAATATAGCTACTTAGATTGTAATATAAAGTTTAAAATTAGTTTTCTTATTTTTTAAATTATTTAACTTTTTATTTAGAAGATAATCTTTATAATTTATTTAACTAGTTTTTTAATTAATATAAGGATTATAATATTATAATTATAAATAGCTAAGTATTAAATTAAAACTATATATATAAATAATATTAAAAGTAATACCTTAAGATTTTTTATTTATAAAAACTTTAAGGTAATTAATTTCTTTAATAGTATTTTATTATTATATTTATAATTAATTTCTTTTTTATTAGTAATAATACAAATTTTCTTTTTTATATTTCTATAATTTTTAAAGCTTATTTATTATATTAAGGAAATTAATACTTATATTAACTTTACTATTTATAAGTATAATAAGCTCTTTACTTTTAATTTATACTTGTAATTTTATATAGATTTTTTAACCTTATTTTGTTATTATTTATAATACTTTTTTTAAATATATTTTTATTTTTACCTTTTCATTTACTTATAATTATAATATATAATATAAACTTTTTTTTAATATATTTTATTATATTTATTATTATATAATTATTTATTTCCTTATTTATATTAATAATATATAAATATTATTCCCTATTTATATTAATATTAATATTAATATTATAATTACTCTACTTATTTAAGTATATAGCCTATCTTATAACTTATTTAATTCTCTTTTTACTACTAATACTAAATATCTTTAACTTTATATAACTTAAAGTTATATAAAACTTAATATATTTTTCCTTTATAAAACCCTGTAATTACCCTACTTCTATCCACATCGCGCAGTCGCGCTCTCGTGGTCCAAGACTATAACTAGCCTATTACAGGTTCTTGGTTTTCTCTAGTACCTCCTTGGCCTGCTACTAGATATCCTTAAGCTACTTATTATATAAGCTGCCTAAATTAAATGCTCTAAAGAACCCCCTCTCCTTCCTGCTTAGCTATATCTCTTTATATAGCTTCTTTTCTAAATCTTTAAGTTTTTATTATTTATATTTAAAGAAATTTTTATTAATTAAAAGGTTTTTATAAATAAATTATTTAAATAAAAAGATTTTATAATTAAAAATTATAATTTTAATATAATTAAAATTATTTTTATTAAATTAGGCTTTTTAAATATTTATAATTATTATATATAATATATTATTTTTATTTTTAATTTATTTAAAAGCTTTTTTATTTTAAGGATTATATTATAGCCTTTAATTAAATAAAACTTATTAAGCCTAAATACTTATAAGCTTTTTTAAATAGTAAATATTATAATAAGATAGCTATAATACTATTAGTAGTTATAACTAAAAGGTATAAGGAAAGTTAAATTAAATAACTTATTATATAATAAATAATTAAAGTATAATATATTATAAGAGTTAATAAAAGACCTTTAAAGTAAGTTAAAGGAAGAAGGTTAAGGCTAAATAAAAGGCAGGTAAGGCCTTTTAGCTAGTATATATATAGTTAAGTTTAGGTTATAATTAAGATAACTAATTATAATAATTTAACTTAATAAAGCTTTATTAGCTATAAGGGTAATATATATTTAAATTATATTAAATTCTAAAGATATTTAAATATACCTTTTAAGGCTAACTAATAAACTTAAAAGATATATAATTAAATTACTATAATAAAAAGGGTTTTAAATAAGTAAACTAATTTATATTAGGTTTAATGTTTATAAAGTTATAAGGCGTTATATTAAGCAGTTATAAAATATTATATCTTTTAATAGTAAATAAAGTAGGTTAGGCATATTTAGGTAAAGAAGTCTTATTAATAGCTAGTAAGCTAAGTTTTATAAAAGTATTAATAAGTATAGTCTATATATTAAGTATATTCTTTAGTAATTAATAAGGTTATTAGGGGATTAATAGTAATTTAAATAGATTAGTATTAATTATAGTAAATTAGCTTTAATTATAAAGTCTTAGCGCTAATTGTCTTTAGCAGAAGGTATAGTAATTAGTAGAAAATATAGGGTATATATAATAGAACTACTAGTATTATAATATAATCTCTCCCCTCTCTTAGGCCTTGTCCTTAAGGCCTGGTTAATATATTTTTCTCTTAGTTATCTTCTATAAGTAAAATCTTACTTTTATAATCTCTTAAGATATTTAACTATGTATTTAAGGCTAAGAAAACTTTTATTAAAAATTATAATTCTTTTTATATCTTAGTTATAGTATTTAGGAATCCTATTATGCCTTATTCTAATTATATTTATTAAAAGATAGAAAATTCTTATATTTTTAACCTTATAAAGTTAAACTATTATAATCCTTATATTAAGTTAGGAATATCTTATAATAGTTATAGCCTTTTTATAGCAGTAAGTATATTTTTATCTTTATAAAATTATTTTTATAGGTTTTACTAATATATTATTAGTTAAGAAAATTATTAATAAGAAGTATTATTTAGAGCATAAACAGGAGGCTATTAAGGATAAACTAATTAATCTTTAAGTAAAGTCTATTTATATTTATAATATAATAAATACTTAATTTATTAAGATTACTTATTTAAGGCATTAGTATTATTAAGTAGAGGTAAAAGGATTAAATATAATTTAATATAGTTTTAGCTTTATAAATAAATTAAAAAAGGCAGAGTATAATAAGTAGGCTGCTTTAAAAGGTGCTATAATTAATAGCTCCTTTTAGGACTAATCTGCTATTATTAAGTAGTTTAAGTAGGATTTATTAAGTCTTAATGCTTTCCTTAATTCTTTTAGTTTTAATAGAAATTCTTTAGGAGTTATTAGGCATTAATAAGGTGTTTAGATAGTTTTTATATATTTTCGTTTTCTAGGTAGTTCTTTTATTTAATAAGGTATTTTATTTATTTATTAATTTTCCTTATATTTATAATTACTTTTACTTTATAGACTTTTAGTTTTTTAATTTCTTTTAGTTTATTACTAGTCTTAACTTATATTATATTAGCTACTAATTTAAGTAATAAAATATAAAAGATTAGGTAAAGCCTAACTTTTAGTAGTAGGTTTAGTTTATAGTTATTTTTTAAGATTTTTATTTTTATTTTATATAGCTTAATATATTTATAGTTTAATTTATAATTTAGTTATTTTATTATAATGTTTTTTATAGCTAAGTAGACTATATCTCCCTTTAAGAAGGTTAATCTTTTAATCCTTTTTATATTATAGTATTTTTTTAAATATTTTCTAATAAATTCTAATTTCTTTTTTAATTCCTTATATAAGGCTCTTAGGCCCTTGCTTTTAATTATAGCAGCTAGGTTAACTGTTTTTAGTTTTTATATTATATAATATAAGTCTAGGGTAAATTTAAAATTAACTATTAATAGTATTATTTTAATACTTTTATTATATACTATATTATAAGCAAGTTAGGCACTTAATAACTTTTTTACCTAATTATTTTATTTATAGTTAATATAGTATTATAGGTATTACTTTAATACTTAATTTATTCTTTTAGTTTATCTATCTATTTATAGTCTAAATACTATTAAAAGTTAGTAATTTAGTTCTATATATAATATTAATGCCTGCTTAAATTTACTTATAAATATTATTTCTCTATTTATTAGGATTTTATATAGTAATGCATGTTCTCTAACTATCCTATTATAGAAAATATAGGAAAGTTATTTTATATTTATATCTTCCCTATAAGGTATATAGTAAGAGGATTTAGTAAGTTAATTTACTATAACTAAGATATTATTATAAAAGATTCTAGTTAAGGGTTCTTTTAATAAAGGTAGCTTAGTTATATAATCTATTATATTTAAGCTTTATAGTCTTTTTATTACTTTTAGTAGTTATAGTAAGCTATATAATTTATATTATTATGCTTTAGTTTTTATATATAAGTTATACTATTTAATAACTTTTTTATTATTTTCTTAATTCCTTTTTAATTATAATATATCTAGATATATTTTAGGGTTTTTATAATACTTTAATAGCTATATAGGGGATATCTATATATATTTTATATTAGTTCTTCTTTAAATTGTTTTAGTACTTAGAGTTTATTATTATAAGTAAGTATCTTAGCTTTACTTTT